GAAGAGTGGGAAAGAGGAAGAATTTTAGAAACCCAGGGTTCTTAGGTAATTCTCCTGTTTTGGAATTGGTGATATTAGAGCGAGTTTGGGCTCATTTTTGGTCATTGACTTGACTGCTCCTTTAGGGAACAAAGCAATATGGCAGCTCAGGGTAAAGTGCCAGAAGCAAAGACAGGCACACAATGAGGGCGGTGGCAGCAGGGGAGAATTCAGGAACTGGAGCAAGCAGGCAGTCCAGGTGGGCAGTGAGGTGGAGCTCACAAAGGCAGCAGGAAGGTTTCTGGAGTGAGGGAAATGTCCTGCAGTTTAACTGGGTGTTGGTTACACAAGTGTATACAATTGTCAAGATCTGTGCATTTTATTATATGAAAATTGTATTTCAGAATAAATAAAATTGCAAAAATACTTTAAAAATGAGTAGTACCAGGAGAGGAGGGGCCTCAAGGCCAAGAGAACCTCACGCTCAAGGGGTTGTCACTTCAAGACCTACAGTGCCCATGGAGCCCGCCAACTGCTGAGTCCGCCTGGGCTTTCGGGTGTAAGGCGCTGTCCGGCAGGCGCAGGGCGAGTCCACTATCCCCATGGGCAGATGGGTCGTGAGAGTCTGCTGCAGAGTGATGCTGCCTTGGAGACCGTGTCCTCACCACAGGTGTCCCCACTTACATACACACTTGCCCCAGGCTCTCGGGGCCCAGGTGCCCATAATGACAGGTGCGCATGCAAGACCACAGGTGCCGGTCATAGAGGTTAATGGCGGGAGTGGAAAAGCCTGATTTTTAACTCATTGACCCTACAAAGGTGAAGGGCCTGGCATCAGGGGTTTTCTATGCAACATGGAGAAGTCTAGATGGGAATACACTGGCCATGGGCTTCAGTCACTGCACAATTTCAACTTCCCCAAGTGGCTACGATCTCCCTCTGTCTTGGAGGCTAAGGGCCTTTTGGCCCTGTAGCAGAATGAGACAGGCCTTTTGGACTCACAACCCCTCCAAACTCTGACAAGAGAGGGGCGGGAGAGAAGTAACCAGGGAACTGTATTTCCAGTTATGCAAAGCAGCTTGCACCCAGTTCCCTGAGGATAATCAGGGAGACGGTCATTTCTTACACCTTGGCAGAGCCCCGGTGTGTGTGTGTGTGTGTGTGGGGCGGGGTAATGGTCTCCAGGGACTGCCTACTCCATGTCTTCTGGAATTGAGCCCCGCCACTTCATCCAGCTTCTTTAGGACACACACTGCCCTGCTGTTTGATGCGCTAACCCTAAGCTGTGCACCTGCAATCCAGGTGCCTCTGCCCACATGTAGGGGTCCCAATCATTGTACCTCAGTCGTCCTCTGAACTACAACAGGCTGTTCCCAGCTTTCTCCAATTTGAAGCACGCTCTGTGCTGCACATACCAGCATGTTCTGGCAGCTTCTGTGACAGCTCAAATCCCTTTTTTTTTTTTTTTAAATACTGCCCATCCTCTACCTCTGGCTTCCCTCCCTTGCATGAACATCTGTTGCAAAGTCAGACACATATTCTCTTCACCATTCCCTCCCCCCTACATGAGTGCTATCTCTCCAGCTAGACTCTAATATTGAATTTGGATGACCCAGACTACTGTGGACCTTGTCTGTGCCCAAGTCAGAAGTGGAAGGACCGTTTTCATTCCTCCTAACAGTTCTCAGCAGAGATTCCCTCCTCGGGAGTGGAAGGGTGTTCTGGGAGCCAGGGTAGCTCAGGGGGTAGGGGGCATAGTGGCTGAGACGTCCTGGGATGTTTAATTCTACCCAGACTTCACCAGGATTGCTAACCCGAGATGAGCCAGGCACCCCCTGCACACCTCATAGCTGAGGGGGGTGCCCTGGATAAAGAATGAGGCCAGGTGTTGACAAAGCCAGTGCAAGTCACAGGTGAGCTCAACTTATGGGGTTTACTGCCACTGTGGAGTCATTACTGAAATTGAAACAACTTACCTGCTGGGAAGAGAATTTGGGATAAACTGCGAACTTCAAAAAGTTTCTGCCTGGTAACTGAAGAGGTAACCATGGCAACGGGAGGCAGGCTGTGCTCAGAGAGGGCTCTTCATCTTGGGCAGACAGCTTTGTGCTGTGGGATTTGCTTGTCTGCCACTGTGCACATCAATCCCTTTGTCTCCTCTGCTGTCTTTGTCGAGTGGGCGAGAGTGCTGGCTCAGGAACTGGAGATTAGATGCAGGTTTCAGCTGTTTTCAGTTCCAGCAGACTTAAGCTCAGGGCACCACCAGCACGGCTATGCTGTTGTTTGCAAAATGGAAATTGAAAACCATCTCTGACCCAGTCATAGGGTGTAGAAAGGACAGGGTGATTTCAGGAGGCTCTCAGTGTAATCCTTGCTATTATCAGGCTGTTGGGCTGATTCCACCGCTGGGCAGCTGAGGGTAAGCTAAACTCATTTTTGTCATATGAAGAAAAGTGGCCCCAGATACCACCCACCTGGCAGCTATCTAATAAAAACAAGCTTTGAGGGGCGGGGAACGTCAGGTAAACAACAACCTCATGAGAGCTGACAAACTCCTCCAGCAGAACGAGCTGACACGGGCCTGGTGAACTGCACCCTATATGGACAAAGGGCCTTGCCGAGAAACACAGGCATTCAAAACACACCCTTCCAAAGCCTGGTTGCATCCAACACCCCCTCCAAACCCTGCCTGCCTCCCTGCCCCACACCAACTTTTGAGAGAGGGTTCGCGAGAAAGAACAGAGCCGAGGCTGGCAAGGCAGGAGGTGCTGGCATCTCAGCTGCTGCTATGCCTGTCTCTGTGCCCCTCTAACTACCCACTAATAGCCCAGAGGGCTGGGGGGAGCGCCGCTCTGGCTCACAGAGTGCATTCTGTCTCCATTTAATTGGGTTATCTTCAGCAGGTCCTGCTTAATAAGGGGGGCTGCTCGGTCAAATGACCGCACGTTGCACAGATTTCAACTCTTCACACAGGAGGTGTCTCCACTCCTACCTAGCTTGCAGTCCTCCCCTTCTCGTCCTCCACTGTGGCTTCTCCTTTTCCTTCCCCCGCTGGTTTTTTGGGGCCTTCTCACTGAGCTCAGTCAGGGGGTAAACTTCTGTAGGGTAGATGAAAACTACGGGGTTCTTATGGCCCTCCCACCATCATCAGCATCAATGACCGACACCTGTGTCTTACATGCGCGATTGATGGTGGCACCTGGAGTGTGGTGTGCATGTGCATAATGGAAGCACATGAGCCAGAGACTGAGATCCTGAGCACACAAGAGCGGCGGCAGAAGACGGGTGCGGGCAGGGGACAGGTGCAGGTAGAGGGCCGTGCAGCCGAGTGCAGCAGACACCAGCGGAGAGGCCACGAGAGGATGCCAAGACCTGAGAGCCCAGAAAGTGAAGATTCTTCCCAGCCCCCAGCCCCAGGCCTCCCTGCACCCCCTGCTCCTGGTGGCCTCCCTACAGGTGGTGTAGAAAGATCGTTAAAAGCCTGAGAACGCCACTCCAGGACTCTTTCCCCTGTCTGCCCAGACTGTAGAGAACCTGCCCCATGCCTTGCTGACACCACAACCTCCTTCTCTTGTTTTTAATTCTTCGACTCTTTCCTTCAAGGCCATGCTAAGGAGGAGCAAATTTTAGATTTCCCTCATGAAATAAAAACCTCAGTCCCATGAAGCATGACACCGCAGTCTTTTCTTGTTGCCGAGCCCTCCCCGTGTCCCTATTAAGGAAGGCTCACAGTACTGCGAGCCATCTGAACGTGACGCCGTTTGAAGTCCCTTACGTGTAGTTGTGGGTGCTTTGGCATACCAGCCACACCCCCTCTTTAGGACTGAGGACCTCAGTCCCAGCTGGCTCAGACCTGGTGGCCAGCTATCTGCTGTAGGCTTACAGCAGTCTCTTCTGCAGTTGTGCTTGAGAGAGTGTTGCCCTGCTCGAAATGAGGTCATCTTCTGGGGTAACCACATTGGATGGGGTCACGACAGGGTATATTGGCCTGGCCCCGTGGCTTTAGTGGGGGGGCATGGCCCCCCTCCAGAGCATCCCCTGGACTAGCTTCCCTCTGTGTGACCAGAGCAGGACATTCAACTCGCTCTCGGTCCTGCCCTGCTTCCCTCACTCGCTGGGTTCTGAGAACTCTCCCAGCAAGTCTCTGCTGAGTTCCTGTTCCTGGGGATATCAGAGGAAGAATTTGCTTATTTACGTGTGGCATGGTTCTCATCTTAGAGAGGAGGAAACTGAGGCACGGGCAGGTGAAGGTCTCCCATTAGTAAATAAAACATGATTTAAAACTTGAAAATTTCACCCTAGAACCCATATTCGGAACCTCACAGGCAGGCTCTTACTAGCAGCTGCAAAAGAAACTGAGGCCCTGGTGGTGGGTGATGCCTTCAGGGGAAGGTGAGGAGAGGGGCACCACAGGTGATGCCTGCTTAGCAGCCAGGTAGGCCTGCTCTTCCCAATGCTGACCTTGGGCAATGGCCCTCACTTTCTGACTTGTTTCCTCTCCTAAAATATGGAGCTGCTGATGAGATGTTGCTAAAGGGTAGCAGTCAGAATAATCATCACGGTTGCACTCTGTGCTCCTGTCTGTCCCCCAGAGGCTCAGGCCGTGAGCCACGTGTGCACCCCATTCCCCCCTCCCTATACCAACATCCTCCCCCGCACTACTAACCCTCCCATTAACTTGCCACCGCCCTGCTGGTTTCCTGCCTTTACTAAAGGTTATCGGGGTTTTCCTACTAAAGTGGGTGTGAGCTGCTCACCTCAGAATGACTTCTCGCCGGCCCCCATTCGCCAAGCCCGCGCCCCGCCAGGAGGAAGGGGGTGCCCCAGCGGCAGGGACTGGGACAGCTGGGGCCGAGCAGCCCGCGTCTGGAGCCCCGCCCGACGCGGCTCCCGGCCCCGCCTCCGTCTTTACGGAGCGCAGCCCGGCTCTCTGATTGGTCGGTGGCCCCTAGGCCGCTCCGCCCCCTCGCAGGGAATAAAAGCCGCGGTCTCCCCGACTCCGCGTGTGCAGTTTACAAATCCGTGCTCAACCTATCGGGCTTAGACGGGTGCAGCAACTGCCGTTCCTCTGCGCTTCGAACTTCTGTGCCCCCTGGAGCCCACCACTGTCCCACATCCGACGTGCTGCCCTGCACCAGCAGCGATGTGCCGGACCTTGACCGGCTTCCCCACCACCTGTCTGGAGAGGTAAGAGGAGCTTGTACCCGGGAGCTTGTCCAGTTGCCTGATGTAAGAAGTCAAGTCCTACTATTCCTTAGGGAATACAGGGACAGGACTTGGGTAGACCAGAGAACGGGGCGCTACTGACTTGAGTGGAGAGGCATAGGGGAGCCTGAGTCCACCTTCTCAGATGCTTTCCTTGGAGTCTTAGAGAATGTCTGGGCCAAGAGAAGGAAGAAAGAAAAGCAAAGGGGAGCAACACCAGCACAGCTTATTTCCACTGCTCCTCCTCTGCCAAATGGCAGACCTTAGGTGACGCTGACGATTCAGCTGCAGGAAGACCACATGGGCATCACCAGGCAGAATTGAGTGTTCCCAGAGTTCTTCAGTACTTGGTTTTCATTCTGCTGTCCAGGTCCATGGGCATGACCTCCCCCCCTTCCACGGGAAGGCGGGCAGGTGTTTTTCTGGGGGTCCAGGGGCAGGCATACTCTCATTTCCCAGGCACTGCTCAGCAACCTGTAATCCCTGCTGGAATTGGTGGCTTGGAAGGAGAAAGCAAAGATGAAGGCAGAAATCCGTTTCCAGAAATATCACTGACAAGCCTAGAGGGTGCGGGTGCTCATCCACAGGCAAATAATAGAGCAGAGAGACTTAAGAAAGAAAAAAGTCCATGTGTGCAATGCTGTAAATCCAGACAGTATAAGACAGAAAGTTTTTCAAACTTGGTTTGAAATCCTCGCTCAAACACTGCTTCCATTGTTTGTGGGTTCATTTCACAAATGAGAGAAGTCCAAGGAGCTACCCCAGCTTTCCAGGAACTGTTGAGGTTTGAATTTGGATGGTACCCACACCTTGAGCTCTTCTAATCCCATAAGTGCTCTTTCCTGACTGAGCAAATGGAGAATCCTCACATACTTTTGCTTTGTTTTTCAGAGCCAAAGAGTTCAAGACTCGTCTGGGAATCTTTCTTCACAAATCAGACCTGGGCTGTGATACTGGGAGTGCTGGCAAGTTCGAGCGGACCAGTAAACACTGCAAAGAGGGGTGAGTCCCAGGACCCCTGGGCGGGTTTAGGAAAGGATCATGCAAAGGAAAGAAAGCAGGAGGAGCAGTTAGGACGTGCTGGGATGGAGCTGGCCACCCGCAGCCTTCCCCCCCATCCCCACCGGCCCCCCTGCAGGATTCTAATAGGCGTTTTGCTGGTTTGCTGTGGCTGCTTGGCTCCTGGGTATGGGAGCAGGCAGTGTGGTGGTCCTGGCTTCTAAGTGCAGAGGGCACCCAGGGCCTGAATGTCTACTCACCATACTCTCCTGTCTGCGGATGTGCTGCACATGTGGGCAGGGCTAGGCCAGGCTCCAGGACCATTTGAAAGTCTTAAATCAATGTCTCTATTTCCATTAGTGTGTGCTATGGCTCAAGTCACTCACATACTGAGCACGAGCAGTGCAGGCTCAGTGCTGGGCTCTGGGGTGATGGGTAGACATAGTTTCGGTTCAAGAGACCCATATTTCCTTGGGTAAGTGTACAAGACAGAGCCCCTAGAGATGGGGATAGAAACAAGTTTGAACAGCAAAGCGGCACCTTAGAGATATTTACTCAGGGCCCAAAGGATCCCTTTCTGGCTATGGTTTCTGGTAACTGAATTGTTCTCTAGAAAGCACCACTGTTGCACCCTCAACCCAGCCATGAGTTTGAGGAGTCAGCTTCTATAATCGCCGAGCAAGTCTTGATGCACATCCACAGCTCCCATCAGAGTTCTGGCTAGAATTTGTGCTCTGCATTTGTTGATATTTTTGTTTGTTTACATTAAAATCTTGGCTCTTTTGCTTTTAGCAGAAACGTCTCAGAAGATGTGCTGGGGTGGAGAGAGTCTTTCGACTTGCTGCTGAGCAGTAAAAGTGAGTAGGACCCTGTTGTGTCTGCCTGTGGGGTGAATTGCACATGTGTCCCCATATGCTTTGGAACCAGCCTGAGGGATGCTGAAAGCGTGGGCAAAATAATAGTAGTAATAGTAATAATCACCATCCTCTAGTGTGCCAGCCTCTATTCAGAGCACAAAGGCAGGTCCTTGTTCAAGAAAATTACATCCTAAAAATAGAGCCATTAGCTGCAATTGCTGTCTTCACTTCCTTTATCCTCACTGTCCCACAGTCTGACCTGGCTCTCTCCTCCCCCCAGCTGGAGTGGCTGCTTTCCATGCTTTCCTGAAGACAGAGTTCAGCGAGGAGAACCTGGAGTTCTGGCTGGCTTGTGAGGAGTTCAAGAAGATTCGCTCGTCCACCAAGCTAGCCTCCCGGGCTCACAGGATCTTTGAGGAATTTGTCCGCAGTGACGCCCCTAAAGAGGTCAGAGCCCCAGCATGTTCAAGGGATACTCCAGACCGCACTGGTTCCTTCCTGGCTGAGAGTTGGGGAGGGCACCGGGGCAGCAGGTAGAGGACTGGGTTTAGAAGTATAAGTGACTTTATTTGGCCATGGTGAGTGGATCTCTGTGGCCAGAGCTGAGGACAGCCAGGACTCTCACTGTCCTTAACCACTGACTTCAGACACACCCAAGGGCCCGTGGGTTGGTAGGGTTATTTTTGGCTTCTTTTTACACCCACATGTGTCAACTAAGCCCGTTTTAGAGGTGCAAACCCCTTACACAACTGGAAAGACAGGTCATCTTAGGACCTGTATGACTTGGCTCTGACCCCTGGCTGACCTGCCTCTGCCCACAGGTCTGTGGTCAGTGAAATTTCCAACCTGCTCCCAGCCACGTGTGGCCTTTGCATTGCATAAGGACCATGACGCCACCTTGTGGACAGATGATAGTAATGCCTTCCTTTTGCATTTTCTGAGCACATTTATTCTATGAAAATGTGCCGAACACCATTTACTTGTAAGGTGTTACTGTCATCATCGGGGATACAACAGTGAACAAAAAGTCTCTACCCTAATGGGAGGGATGACAATAGCCAATTCAACAAATAAATATGTGCCAGCTGCTGCTGTGGGCTCAGATGAAAACCAAGCAGGCCGTGAGAGGCACTTGGCACCAGGCGGAGGTGCGAATTGGAGGAGGTAGTTCCATTACATAAAGGAAATCAGGGCTGGGCTGTCTGGTAAGGGACAACTGAACAGAGCTGTGAAGGCGTTAAGGGGGAAGAGCACATCCAAACACAGGAAACAGCAAAAACAGAGTCCAGGGAGCATCTGTCATAGTCTCAGAGCAGGAAGTGGGCTGTGTGGAGCCCGATAGTGGTCAAATCGGGGAATACCAGGTCCCTGATTCAGGTCCAGCGCTCCGATACCAGTCAGGCTTCCCTAAGCCTGTGGACCCCTTATCTCGCCCACTGCTTAACCCGCCCCACTCAGCAGTGTGCTTGCCTTCCTTCCCGCAGGTGAACATAGACCATGAGACCAGGGAGCTGACCAGGGTGAACCTGCAGGCTGCCACAGCCACGTGCTTTGAAGTTGCTCAGGGAAAGACACGCACACTGATGGAGAAAGACTCCTACCCACGCTTTCTGAAGTCGCCTGCGTACCAGGACCTGGCTGCCTCTGCCTGTCCGTCCAGCTGCAGCCCTGCTGAGCCCTCGCACACCTGAGCCTCCTGGCAGTGAGGAAGCCAGCCTGGAAGAAAGGTTCAGGCTGCCGCCTGTGTATGAGGCAGGGTCTGCTAAGCAAGCGGGAGAGGACGGGGGTGGGAAAAGTCCCTGGGCCACCTGTTTGGGGGCCACAGCCGCTGCTCCAGACACTGTGGGCTGCATTCCATGCAGGAACTCAGGACCTTGGGGTGCAGGCCAAAGATGAAGTTTGTCAGGACTCAGTGGGAAAGCAACGATTGCCTGAGAGTTCTCATGAACGCTTGTCATTTTGAAGGGGATGCTTCTGGGGCAGATTGAAAAAGTGCAGGAAGGGAAACCTGGGCCTGAGGGAAGGCAGTTGGCTCAGCTGGGTGCCTGTTGAACAGTGGGTGGCATCCCATTTCCCTAAGTCCCAGGCTTGCCTTGCCTAGAAGGGGCCCCTGGTTGTAGAATCATCTTGCTCTGTCCCGATCACCTGCCTCTGAGCTGCCAACATTCCTTTGTCCAGCCTCACAGTCCTGTCAAGGACAAGAAAGAGTGGAATGTTTTCCTCCTATTAGATTTATACCTCAAAAACTGACCTTCGAGTCCCTTTCTAAGTCAGCAGAGAGTCCCCAAAAGAGGCCATCCTGCTTGGGTGACATTAGCCTTGGTGTTCATGGTGACCTCTTGCAGGTGGTCACCGATCTTGTATTTGCAGTAGGGTCTACCTGTGAGCAGGGCTTAGCTCTGTACTGCCCTTGAATGTGGGATCTGGAGGAGAAAGTTAGTGAGCAGGTATTCAGTTCTCACACTGGCAATGAACCAACATGTAGAACCAGAGGCGAAAGGATCATAACTAACACATATCCACATGGCAGTTCTGTTTAAATTAAGCCAGTATTTTTTGTGGGGATGAAAATGGGGGGAAAGACACCCTGGGATGGAAGGGGAGCCTCATGTTTCTTTTCTGGGGTGTGAGACGTACTTATCCTAGTGTGTAGACAGATGGTACAGGAACCAAGAGTTGCCTTGGACAGGAGCTGGGAAGAGCAGAACTGGGGGGCAGAACCTGCCAATCACCTCAGGATTACCACTGAACAAACATTCCAAGATGGGACTTCTGCAGGAGCCCAGGCTGGACAGGCAGTGAACAGGGACACCTCTGAGGCCCCAGGAAATTAGCGCTGTTCTCTCTGCACTGTGAGCTTCTCCAGGAGAAAATTACTGAAGTATAACATATTGTTAGCTTGGTGACAATTGTAGCATATTATCTTGGTTACTGTAGCTGTGATGTTGCTATTGTTATTTATTGTGGTAATCTCAGTTTGCCTCTCCTAGCCAGTCACAATGGGAGTCGGCAGCTTGGCTGTCGCCCTCTCTTGGCCAGACTCTACCTCTTCAGGGGCTGGGAATTTCTAACACCTGTTGGGAACTGCTATTAAAATATTTATTTATTGTTGACAACTGGAGCTGGTTTCCTAGATAAGAATAATGTATTCAACCCCCATCTTCCTGTTTCAGCATGTTATATTCTTATACAATAAAAATAAAGCTAAACATGAGCTCCTGTCTCCAAGCACCGTGTGGTTAGGGGAAAGGGAGTAGGGAAGGCAGTGGGGTGGCGGGAAATTCCACAGGGTGGCGGGGGCAAGGGGGTGAGCATGCGCTCAGGCACCCATCAAGACTCACATCTGCCCAGGACTGGCAGAGTCAAAGAGCAGGGGAGAGGTTTTAATGGCGGCCCCCAGGCTGTCAGCCCCTCTTGCCGATGAGAGCCCCACCTAGAGCTGGGCTGTGTTGGCGACTGACCTGGCTCAGCTGATGTCATTTGAGAGGACACACCCTTTGTCCACTGACTGGATGCAGCTGGAGCCATTCCCAAGTCTGTCTGTGACAGCACGGGGCTGTCCCCAACAGGATGGTCAGGAAACCTGTGTCATTGGTTTGTGGAAACTGCCATGGCGTTTCATTTTTACCTGCTTTCAGTTTACACTAGTATTTTAGAATTGCATATAAATTTCCAAAATTAGCATTCTTCAGTACTTTCATAGAAATCTCTGAAATGAACTATGAGATGGCATTTGACAAGGGCATTTCCACACCATGGGCTAAGGGTTGAAGCTGATTTGGGAAGAATTTGAGATGGTTTGCCAGGATTAAAATTCCTGTCTCCTCTAATTGCCTACTTTTTTTTTTCTCTTTTAAATAGGCTTTGTGCTGAAATGAATACATTTAAAAATCTATTGAAATTATTTTATGTATCGAAAATATATTGAAATTATTTTTCATCTGTGCTGATGTTTCCTCTTAGGGCTCATGCTACTTATTAAATGAACATGTAGACTTAAGGTGTGCAGCCTTATGACTCACTATTAGTATATATTACGCAACGTTCTCCACTAAAAATCTAGCTTCTCCCCATTATTATACAGTTGTCTCCTTTTATCAGATCCACCCTGCCCCTTCCCTCTGGTAACTGCTCTTTTGTTCTTACTGACATCACAGTTTGTTTTGTTCTTCCACTTGTTATGTCCCACATAGGAGTGAAATCACATGGTGTTTGTCTTTCTCCACCTGACTTATTTCACTAAGCATATCCCCTCCAGTTCTATCACGTTGTTCTCCTTTCTCCACCGCTAATTTTCATTGTTTCCCCTGATTACCACTATTAAAAATTAATAATTCTCGGCCCTCCCTGGTGGCGCAGCGGGTTAAAGCACAGCACTAAGAAACTAAGGCCACTTCCGCATGAGTTCGATTCCCGCCTGCCCCGGAGGTGACCACATGGCGTGGCAGACCTCTCCTGACCTGCCCGCTGCTCCTTCATAGATCTGCCTGTTCTGCTCTCCACTCTGTCTCTGGAGAAGCCTCTCGCCGCCTCTGATCCTCTGGCCTGTGCCCCAGTTCCGTATGCAGAAATAAAAAAAAAAAATAAATCTTTAAAAAAATTAATAATTCTCTGTTGAATGACCTATTTATATACAGATCTTCCATTGACTTTTCTGTCTCCCCTATTAAGTGAAGTGACCACATCTGAGTGATCTACTACAGGGAGGAGACCTGAAGGAATCACACTCAAAGCCCAGGTCTACAGAGACAATTCTGCAGGTGTCACCAGGACAGACTTTGAGTGTAAGGACCCGGGAAGGAAAACAAGGATGTACTCTGAGGTTGCTGGTTCTTCCCACAGTTCTGCAAGGAGTACAACTACCCTGAGTTACAGATGGGGATGTGGTGTGTCAAGGGGCCCAGGCCCAGGGCAGCCAGCTTGAGAGCAACAGAGAGGCAATCTGAACCCAGCGATACTGTGGGGCCTTCAGTGTGCGAGGACTGGCAGAGGGATGTGTGGGTGAGGGCGAGTCCAGTTCCAGGGAGGTGGGCAGGTGATGGCTCTGACCTTTTCTCATGACTTTGTGCCCATCTTTTTGACTTTTTGCACCCACTTGCAATGAAGTGCGTCCCTTGTGCCTGGGTGAAAACCAAAAGCAGCAAAACTACTACCAACTGCAAGTAGCCTTATTGAACGTGGGTGAGGACTTTTGCATTTTCTGGATGAGGTGGGTGCCGGTAGGAAAAGGTGTGACTATGAGTGATACACTGTGAGTGATAGAGAGAAACGGGGGTGAGGAATACCCAGTGAGCTGGGTAGATGCTGGCAGCTTGCTCCAGCCCAGCCCTGTCACAAACAGCATGGCCTTGCCCCGGGGTGGTGGACACACATGGGGACAAGGAGCAACTCCTTTCGCCCTCTGCACCTCCTGGGTACTGGGAGCACAGCGTACTGACTCTCTGAGCATTGACGTGACTCCCTGGTGGCACCACAGGTAGCAGCGCGATATCTTTGGTCTCAGGGCTCTGCCTTCAGCTCTAGAGCACATTTGGCCAGCAAGGCTAAGTACTACCTGAGCAGGTAGCTTTCAGGTCTTCTCCTAGAGACTCCCTCTTCTGACCCCTGAAAATAATTCTTCTACAGTTCCCAGATGCCCCCCACTTTTTCAAGCTTCCTTGTTTTGCATTCTGGATCACCCACCCTGCAGTGCCCCCTTCACTCATTGTTGCTGCCTCCTTATCACATATGGATGCAAATATTAAAGCTGACTCAAAGGTCTTTCTGGGGAGACTTCCCTGAGTCTCTGAGTCTGACTACAGATGCCTCTCCTTCCAGTCCCATGCTGAAGCTCACCCAGTGACAGCCCTTAGATTAAATTCTCCCTCTAACCTCACCACCATTCCTCCACCCTTCACTCCACTTGTTCAACCTCACCCCCAATCTTCACTCCTCACCCCTTCACCTCCCTCTTATCATCCAGCAAGTGCCTGAGGTTGGGTGTGTCCTCTTCTCCAGTCTTCTACCCGCAGGGCCTGGCACGCCAAGTGTCCAGCAACTAGCTCTTGAGTTAGTCATTAATTTTAAACCTGGCAGGAGAAAGGTTTAGATTCCAACTTGCAGGCTTCTTTCCCAGGATGCCCACAGACCTCCTAGGGAGCAAATCTAAAACCAAGGTCACCATCAGCCCCCTCACGTATTTACTGCCGCCTGTTTCCCGGACCCTCCGTAGAGTAGCCCATCACCCATTACGCAGCTCCTCTGTCCCTTGACTCCATCAAGCCATTTCTCTATCAAGTCCAATCTCGAGAATAGGCAGAGTTCAGCCTCTCCACCCCAGCTCCTCTCCAGTCAGGCTGATAAATCCCTTCCAACCTGTCCTGTTCCCCCCACCCAACTCCCGCTGCAGCTCAAAGGAGCCCCTCTTTGTCCATAGAGCACAGAGCTGAGCTCACCGTGGTCAGAGAAAGCCTAGCTCTTTTTGCAGTCAGAGAGAAAGCCCGGACAAAGCTGCTCTGTTCTGCCCCAGGTCCCTGTCTTGATTTACACATGTCCTTCCTGGGTGGCTTCACTCGCAGTTTCTTTCCCAGCCCTCTTTTGGGTTCCTGTGCATGCTGTTCTCTCTTCTTGGAATGCTCTCTTCCATTTTTTTATTTTCTAACTTGGTGGTCAGAGGATGAGGAAGGGAACATCTTCCTCAAGATCTAGCAAAAATGTCACCTTCCCAGACACTACACAGAGTTCGTGGCTCCCACTTCTTCATTGGTAGGACAGAGGTTCTTATTTTGGTTGTGCTATTGCATAGCATTGCAGCTGACCTCTTTATTTTATTTTTTTTACATATTTTTAAACTTTTTTTTAAAGATTTATTTATTTATACAGAACTGGGGTACAGGCCAGAGATG